CAATAGGTACAGTAACGCCGGCTGACAGGGTTTTACTTGCAAGGCAAGGACGGAAGGTCCCCACAAAATCAACAAGCAAATAAGAGGAGCCGATGGGAACCCCTCCGGGGCGTTCTAACACCCAAGAATGCATGAGTTAGAATATAACTTCCTGTAATGGCCCAGCGCTTGTAATGCTACTTACTTCAGAAAGAATCAATATAAAAGCTCAAGGAGCAAGAGACTCCATTGTAGTGGATGTAACCTCAGTCCGCCAACTGGGGTGAACCACTTAACTCCTATGTCTCTCCCTACCGACTAGGCTATCCCTCAGTTCTCACCACCTAAATAAAACTCATCAACTCCCTGTCCATAACTGAACTTGGGCCATAATTTTCGAGATCTGATTAGATTCGATTAAGTAAAAATTAAATTTTAGACTTAAATTTGAGCATTATTTTTTTTATTCACGGATTTATATAAGTCAACACGAACAAGACGTAAAAATAAATAAGCTAACTCGACTCGACTCAACATGATTAGTTAAACGAATTGAGTTAGCATTTGACACAAACTCAAAATAATATGACATAACACATTTACTACCCCTGTTCATGATTACTCATAAATACCATTTTCCCTCATTTTTCAAATGATGGGCTAAGTTTGTATAATATAATTCTCTTAATCAACTTTGACGATCATAATTTTTTGAATGAAAGATTGAATCAATGGTCATAATCTAAAAAAGGTTTTTGGATTCCAATAATATGACTACTTAAAAGCTAACACTGCGTTTGGTACGCAGTAATGCATTTATGTAGGAATTAAATGAACATAGAAATGGAATGAATTTGGAAATGAAATGGAATGCACGTTACCATTCCAATGTTTGACAATTAATTAGGATTAAGTCTTGTAATGGAACGCCCATTCCATTCCAAAGTTTGGATAAAACATTTTTTTTATTGGAATGGAATGAAATTTAACCAAAATATCCAGAGTGACTAAAAATAATTAATAACAATTTTTTTTATGATTGTGATTGCCTTTGAAAGTTATGCGTAAAAAAATTTATAAGTAGAAAATATGAGAATCTATTGAAAAAAATTAAACCCCTATAAATTTTTAAAAAAAATAGAAAATAAATTCCTTCAAAAATAAGTTCACAAAAAGAAATCAAAATCAAAATCAAAAAATATTCAAAATTTGTCATTCATTTCAAATGAACAACTATAGTTCTTTGTGAATTCAATAGAGCACATGTGCAAATCCAAAAAGAAAACTATCAAGACAACTAAAAATCTTATCCGAACATGCTAGTTGAACCAAAAAATAAATCAATGAAAAATAAGTCCAAAAAATAATTAACAGTATACCGAAAACAAAATCAAATTGAATAAAAACAAGAATTCTTAAATTCCATTCATTTCATCTCAATAACATTTAATGTAGAATTTCAAGAAACAAAATCATTCTCAAATATAAGCACAAAAAATTATACTCGTTGTCTACTTGCTCTCCACTCATCAAACATCTTGTTTGTCAAATTTAATCTAAATGTTGACCACTCGTTGGATATTTTAACTGTGGTAATACGATCATCATGTGTATTATTTTCCACCACGAGACCTGCTGCATCTACCTCCGCCTCAATTGGGTCTATTGGCATTTGATACCTGATGTAGTTGTGAAACAAACAACATGCTATTATTATACGGTTCTGTATTTTGACAGAGTAGAAAGACGGACTTCTTAAAATAGCCCAACGTTTCTTCAGCAACCCAAAACATCTTTCGATTACATTTTTAGTAGAAGAATGTTTCATATTAAAGAACTCTTCAGGCGTTCTAGGTTGGTGACCATCTCTCCATTCTTTTAAATGGAGAGATGGTCATAGACAATAGTCCTCCTTGCAAAGAAGTCATTGTGATAGATTAAGTGTGCATTTACTAGTTAACTTGTCTTATAAAAACTGACTAGCCCCATTGCACTAAATGCTAAAACTCATGAATAACTTGTCTGATTTGAAGTGAAGTTCTCTATGGAAACTTTAGAGATGTGACCATCGTAATAATATTGGGTAAGTCCTTTCATTTTCGAAAACACATGTCCCTATCCCCTTCATAACCAAACACCACTCAACCACACACACAAACACATATATGGGTTCACAAAAGAAAATTTATTACAGGAATTTATGCTCTTTTCTCAGCCACTAGCCGGGGAAGGAAAAACAGAGGCGCCGGTCGATGGGATTTTACAGGGCACATATGGATCATTCCAAGACGATTATTTTTAAGAGGGAGAAACAATCATATGCATGGACATTGTTAGCTATGATTGGCAATAAATATTGCATACCATAATCATGTTGAAGTATCATTTCTTAAGTTTGGAAGAAAAAGAAATAAGAGAGTAAAAGTATCAGAACACTACCCTTTATATGATTTTTCTGTTGTTTACAATGCAACTGAATCTTTTCTTATGCATAAATCTAATAGAGACAGCTTATTGACAGTCAATATTGTTACCTTTCAAATGGCTTATTATTTGGCNTTGAATCTTTTCTTATGCATAAATCTAATAGAGACAGCTTATTGACAGTCAATATTGTTACCTTTAAAATGGCTTATTATTTGGCAGCACTGAAGGATATTTTTTTTTGGTATTACGATCGGGGTTGAAGGATAATTTTGAGCATATGAGCTTAAAAATTTGATCTAAGCAACATTTATTTTCCTGAATAAACTCATGTAGTTGTAATCCTGCACCGTTAATTCATTCATTTCAAATATAATTTCATAGAGCACGAACTAATTCAAATCAATAACAAAGCATAAACATGTATTTCCTATTTCCTACTCATTTTTCTTAANGAATCAAAACTCATGTAGTTGTAATCCTGCACCGTTAATTCATTCATTTCAAATATAATTTCATAGAGCACGAACTAATTCAAATCAATAACAAAGCATAAACATGTATTTCCTATTTCCTACTCATTTTTCTTAATAAAAATTAGTATTTCCTACTGTGGGCACACCCTTCAGACACAGTAGACAAACTTTAGGCCAGTGATTTTCGAGAGCAATCTCATAAACATGTACTAAAAAGTATAAAAACTTCAACTGCACCAATTATAAATTCAAATAAGAAAATACATAACAGAGATTACCACCATGTATAAATAGATGACTCATCAAATTCCCTATACAAAATGAATCATCAAGCAAGAATAGATCAAAACACCAACAATTATCCAAGAGCAAAACCCACCAAGTAAAATTAGTAATTACTAGTGGGAGTGGTAACAATTCAGTTATTGCACTTATACAGCGATTCTATGAGCCATCATCTGGACGTGTTATAATTGATGGGAAAGATATCCGAAAATACAACCTCAAGTCACTGCGACGCCACATTGCAATGGTGTCCAAAGGAAATTTGCAATCTGAGAGCACAAAAATAAGTACAATTGCTCCTTACAATACATTTGAGAGCACAATCTATGTGAGTAAAATGAAAATGCTTCTATCAGACATTTTCTTAAACACTTTCAAAGCAAGACCCGAATCACCACAACCCAATTACATTTGTATCGATGGAGGAGATTAGTTTTCGTAGGTGGTGTCGAAACCTTGAAAATAAATATCAGTAGTGAAAAGAGAATGAGAAATTACCTGAGATTTGTTGCAAAGGTCGAAGTTGATCTGGTCTTGGTCTTGGTCGTGTATCTGGTGCATTGCTTCACCGAAGAGAGTGACAGGAAGGGAAGGAGGGGGACGCCATAGATGTGATTAGAGTGTGCGAGAGAGAGATGCAGATGTGATGAGAGTGCGAGAGAGACAGAGAGAGATGAGACGAGAGAGACTGAGAGGGCAAACCGATGGGTTTTTTTTTTTTTTTTTTTTGCCGATGGATTGGGTGGGCCATTACCGAGTGGAATGGGAACGAAGAATACCATGTTAGATTTGGTAACGCCTAATCCCATAATTTGTAGGATTAGGTATTCTTTGGAATGGAAATGAATTTTAAATCCTGCAAACCAAACATTAGAATAGGATTTCCATGGAATGTTCATTCCATTTCTAAGACCTAATACTATGTATCAAACATAGCGTAAGTTTTCTTTAACTTTAACTAAGCTTTTAATTAAGGCAGAAGTTTCATATTATCCTCATAAATTTAATAAAGTAATATTTTTTCAACTTTAATTAAGTTTTAATTAAACGAAAGTTCTCCTCCAATGGCCCCAAATAGGGGTGTAATTTGGGTTGTTTGAACGGGTTAGAAGATCAATCCAAACCGAAGGCCACTGAAGCAACATAAGGAAGCCTTTATTGCTACGTAACAGTAGTGCAAGATAGTATTTTGCATCTACATGTTTGAATTTGAGGGTAAAAAGCTTGCTTGTTATATGGGATGTGACCTAGATCCAACTCAAGTTGTAAAACTTTCAATCCTAATCTAACTCAAATTTAATTTCTAACCCGTGGTTGAGTATTGCCCAAGTTAATTTTGGGCTTAATTATAGTTAACTAATTCGGGCTTAAATTAAGTTAAATTTGGGTTAATTTCTGGCTCAATTTCAATCATGAATACCTTGACCTACTTAAGTAATTCGGGTTGAACCCGTACACCCAAACCTCAACTCAAGTATGTCCGAAATTTAATTTGGGTTGAGATTTTTCGGTCCAAACTCGATCCCAGTTTTAAAAATTTGAATCCAAACTCTAATTTCGGGTTGGGTTAAAATTAAATTCGAGTTAATTCGTCCAAATTGCATCAAAAGGCTCAAAAGTATTTTTTTGATTACTCATAGGCCCAAAATTTGGGAAGCATCCTAAATGGCCACTAAGAATGTTGTGAGCCCAAGAAGAAAGCAGTGCGCATTACGCACTCTGCCGTATCCAAAACTTTATACGTCTCGTACGATACAGCTCTTTGTACTCAATTTCGTATCTCCTCTGAAATCTCAGGAAAACCCTAACCCTAGTTTTTGAGTCATTCACTTGCAAATGAATTTCTTCAAATCCATCTTATCAGACGATACGAACCCTCCAAAATCCGAGAATCCCCAAAAATCTGATCCCAATTCCCCCTCAAACCCATCCTATAAACACTACGACGAGAACGACGCCATTGACCAAGATCAGAGCTGCCGGTCACACGGCCAACCTAATTCAAACCCTAACTCGACCGATGGTGGTGGNATGCCCAATCCCATAATTTGTAGGATTAGGTATTCTTTGGAATGGAAATGAATTTTAAATCCTGCAAACCAAACATTAGAATAGGATTTCCATGGAATGTTCATTCCATTCCTAAGACCTAATACCATGTATCAAACATAGCGTAAGTTTTCTTTAACTTTAACTAAGCTTTTAATTAAGGCCGAAGTTTCATATACTCCTCATAAATTTAATAAAGTAATATTTTTTCAACTTTAATTAAGTTTTAATTAAACGAAACTTCTCCTCCAATGGCCCCAAATAGGGGTGTAATTTGGGTTGTTTGAACGGGTTAGAAGATCAATCCAAACCGAAGGCCACTAAAGCAGCATAAGTAAGCTTTTATTGTTACGTAACAGTAGTGCAAGATAGTATTTTGCATCTACATGTTTGAATTTGAGGGTAAAAACCTTGCTTGTTATATGGGATGTGACGTAGATCCAACCCAAGTTGTAAAACTTTCAATCCTAATCTAACCCAAATTTAATTTCTAACCCGCAGTGGTTGAGCATTGCCCAAGTTAATTTTGGGCTTAATTATAGTTAACTAATTCGGGCTTAAATTAAGTTAAATTTAGGTTAATTTCTGGCTCAATTTCAATCATGAATACCTTGACCTACTTAAGTAATTCAGGTTCAACCCGTACACCCAAACCTCAACTCGAGTATGTCTGAAATTTAATTTGGGTTGAGATTTTTCGGTCCAAACTCGATCCCAGTTTTAAAAATTTGAATCCAAACTCTAATTTCGGGTTGGGTTAAAATTAAATTCGAGTTAATTCGTCCAAATTGCATCAAAAGGCTCAAAAGTATTTTTTTGATTACTCATAGGCCCAAAATTTGGGAAGCATCCTAAATGGCCACTAAGAATGTTGTGAGCCCAAGAAGAAAGCAGTGCGCATTACGCACTCTGCCGTATCCAAAACTTTATACGTCTCGTACGATACAGCTCTTTGTACTCAATTTCGTATCTCCTCTGAAATCTCAGGAAAACCCTAACCCTAGTTTTTGAGTCATTCACTTGCAAATGAATTTCTTCAAATCCATCTTATCAGACGATACGAACCCTCCAAAATCCGAGAATCCCCAAAAATCTGATCCCAATTCCCCCTCAAACCCATCCTATAAACACTACGACGAGAACGACGCCATTGACCAAGATCAGAGCTGCCGGTCACACGGCCAACCTAATTCAAACCCTAACTCGACCGATGGTGGTGGTTGGGGTGGGTGGAGATTCGGAGGTCTAATCCAGAGCTATGCGACCCAATCGGGGTCAGTACTCCAGACCTACCGTCGCGATCTCAGAGAATTTGGGTCGGGGTTGAAGAAAGAAACTTCTTTGTTTCGCGAAGTTGCAAGCCGAACCGTGAAGGACCTCCCGTATTCGATTGAAGCGGCTCACGAAGTAATCGATGGAGTACTCAAGTCGACTGCCAAGATCATCTCCCACCGTAAAGAAGCCCTTCTTTCCGCCTCCGATTTCCAAAACGATACGCCTGATACGAGTTCAAGTTGTAGTTCGAGACGGTATAGTAGATTCGATGCGCTATTAAGAACTATTCAGAGTGACGTTAAAACTTATTGTGAAGAACCTGAGAATTTGGAGGATTACAATAATTGGAAATTAGGGTTTGTGTTGGAGGAGAAGAGTCAGGAAGTTGAGAATTTGATTGGCGACAGTGGAGCTTTGGAAGGTATCTATAAAAGGGTTGTGCCGAATGAGATTAACCATGGTACATTTTGGTCTCGGTACTTCTATAGAGTCCATAAGCTTAACCAACAAGAGAGTGTGAGAGCTAATCTTGTAAAGAGAGCAGTTTCGATTAATGATGAAGAAGAATTGACTTGGGATGTTGATGATGAGGATGATAAAGAGCAAGAGCTTAAGGAGTCTTCAAAAGGTGAGGAACTGGAACATAACAAAGTCCTAAGTGAAGATTGGCCGCAAATGATGAAGGGAGACAGTTATGAGGTATCACAGAGTGGAAGTTCTAGGGTTGATGGTGGGAAGGAAGAACATAATTCCAATGTGGGTAGTGTTGATATCGACAATTTTAGGTAGATCGAGTTTTGATGAAGCGGTTGACGAGAAAGAACCATCTAAACAAACCTATGAAGTGAAAAATGATGAGGCAGTGTTGAATTCTGATGACAAGGTGGTTTTACAGGGGAAGGCTGATCATGGTGAATCTTGTAGATATTGTGCTATATCCATTGTATCCAGTCAGCAGTCAGTGCCAGACGAGGAAGAGCTTGGGTGGGATGAGATTGAGGATGTTGGGAGCAGTGATGAAAAGAGGGTCACTGGCGGTGGGAGCCTGAACAGAGCTGAGCTACGGAAGCGACTGAGTGCTGCAGAAGAAGATGAGGATTTGACTTGGGATATTGAAGATGATGATGAGCCTTTGAAAGCTTGATACGAAGTAAATGTCAAGAACGTAAATTTTTGTAACTATTTGCAATAATTTCTATTCTTTTCTTCCTTGATTTATATGTCATTAGCTTTATTTATTAGTGAAAAGAGGTTTTTTATGGATAATTGAACTAATTCTGTTCATAATAAATATATTTAACTTGCAATTTTGGTTGATTACTAAATTCTTTGATTTGATGAATTTGTGGATTTTCTTATCCTGCTCGCTTGTTATGACTTATTAATGGATTTGGGTAATGTAAGATGAAAAAAATAATGTAACTATGATATCTGGATGTATTGTTTGACTTTGAGGTATGTTAGGCCGTCAAGTTGTATTTACTTAAGTTTGATCTTAGTGGATTGGTGATAACCTATTGGACTGGTTAGACCTGTTAAATGACTGAATTGCATGAACTTGGCCAGACACCACACGAATGGCTAAACTTAGTTTGTACATGATATGACACGAGACCTAGTATATATGATTATAAATAAATGGGTCGGACATTGATTGAGCAAATTTCAACATAATATGATTTAGACACAATACAAACTCAGCGTGACCCAATCCATAATAAGAAGTTTCAAAACTTCTGTCTTGCTTCCTCTTTCTTTCCTCAGGTTGGTTATGGCAACAAGGGTGTTCTTTTCCAGAGCAGGAAAGAACAATTTATGCAGGCTACTCGATCCCTCTGATTGGTATTTTTGGTTGGACAAACGGGAAGAAAATAAAAATATATCAGCGTGACCTCTAAAGTACAATGCTTAGACAATATCTTGCTTAAACTTGTGATTGGATAAATTAAACTCGGTGGTTCAGAAATTTCCCCTTAGACGTACTTGCTGGCTAAAGCATCTACTGTAAACCTAGATGAAAAGGAAAGTGTACAATGTGTTATTTCCAATTCAACGCCTAAATAAACATGAATATGAACTATGAAGCCTTATAGAAAGGGATGTGGATTTTTCATCTTAAAAAAACAAAAGTTCTTCCATCAGTCTTCATCGTCACAGCGTGCTTACCCTGCTCCCTGTCTCCCACTGTTAGGATTAGATTGTTTGTAATTCGGGTTCTAGGTAGTTTTTATATATTTTGTTTTATCAAAACCTTCCTAGATATGCATGAACCTCGTGCATTGAACTGTAATTAGGCGCTTGATACAACATGCAACCGGAAAAACAAAAAACATGCACTTTGTTCTTCAGAAACCTTAGAGAGATATCATTGACACGATTTTTTTTATTCTGCTTGGCCTCATGGATATATAAAGATAAGCACATTTTATCCCATGTAGTTAGAAGCATGATACATCACATACTCCTCAACTTGATGGTTCTACAGAACCAACTATGACTATTACCATCTCTTTGAATGACCAAACAGAATAGAAACAAAGAAGGCGACATATAGACATATATCACATCAAATTTACAAGATATCCAGTATACTTAATCTACAAGGGCAAGAGAAAGTCTCAAAAGAGGCTCGTGCACATGTCAACTGTACTGGTAAAATTTTCCACAATTTTAAAACTTCAATAAGCAATTGCTGTAGATATGTAGCCAATCAGAATCTTAACTCCACTTAACAAAGTTCCATTGCCCTTGTAGAGAGGAATTCAGGCCTATCTTAGACCCCAAACCTCAGCTTTTGGGTGTCCTTGTCAATGGTGGCTATGCAACCTCAAAACACAGCTTAATGGCGGAATGTCCTCACTGCCTGCTCAATCTGTCTCCGGCAAAGCGGACAGTTTGTCAAGTGCGAAGAGCACGACATACAACAGCACATATGACCACACCTGGATATCACATCCAATAAGCCATTTCTTTCGGTTTAAATTTTGAGAGGTCAAAACAACTAAACAAAATCAGGAATGGTATTACAAAGGTGATTCACTTGATCAATGTAAACATCAAAACAAGGGGGTACTGCAGAATTTGAGACTATCCTAATAGCTTCTTGTACAAGTAAGAGTGCCAAGGTTGTGTTTGAATAAAGTTGGAAAGGTAACCACTTTTATGAAATAGCGAAATATAAATTCATGCACAGAAGCCCCAAACTGTACACCAATACACTATGAAAACAAGCGGGACTTATCATCCTCACACCTTAAGTGGAGAGAGAGTCAGAGACCGGCTTAAAACAACCAAAATTCTAGCCATTTTGTACCCAACTAAAGACCAGACTATTGTGCCACCAGACTCTAGATCATGAACGACTAAAGATAGGAATTATCTTGTAAGGTTCATTTCCAGGTATCGTTCAAACATTAACTCGGGAATTGTTTTTGATAATGCTGCAAGAGCATGCACATAATAAGTAGGCAAAATTTGTTTTCTCAGACAAAGGACAAGTATTTTAAGACAAATCTCAGGGATTGAAATAAGTATAAGAAAAAAAGGTGTCACAAAATCAACAGGCATTTAACCGTTTTCGCCCTTAAAACAACATGAGAGATTGTTGGGGGAACTTACGGAACAAAAACTGAATTGTACTCCTGCTCCAGGCATATCACACATATATCTGGCATTAGTCCCTCTTTTTGAGTACCATCGGATCCATCCTCAGCTTTAGCAACTGAGAAAAAGAAATGGAAAAGAAGAAACGTCTCAATACCGCACCAAACAGATATTAGAGAAGAACTATTGAATGAAGACCGAAGTTAATTACCTTCATTATCTTGCCCTGGTCTTTTAGCTGCAGCAGCAAAAACCCTGCATAAACAAACCACTATACTTCAAGTTATGGTGTAAGAGTTCATCATGTGCCTGGAGTGACATCGTATAATTGTGATATTTTACATTACTGAATAATGAAAATAGTCACATAAGTTTCCAAGAATTATTAAATACCAGTGAACCATACCTCTTTCGCAATTCCCAATGACGCCTTCTCTCCATGAAATATTGGAAAGCATTCTTTGCAATCAGATAAACACCAAAGACCGTAAGCCCCAGTGAAGCATACTTATACCACCTGGAAGTACATTTACATAACAGTATATGTCAGAACGACAGAGAAACTGCAAAAAAGATGTCATATTTATGTAAGCGTATGCATGCAAAAATGTACTTATGTTGTGCGGACCTTGCCCATTTCCCAAGATTTGCAATGAGCTGATCAATAGTTTTGTGAGACACATAAAATGGGCCCTTGTAAGGTCGCTGAATCCGAATAGTTCCAATGTCATCTTTAACAACCTATCACCAACACATTAAACAAAAGTTCAGCTAAAAAACAAATATCTGATCTGATCAAATATTTCATCAAAGAGGGCTAAAATTTAGGGGAAAAAATCATCAATTTCCGAACATAAAAGGACTATAGAGTCCACTATCTAGGACCATAAAAAGGTACTTCAACATATCATTATTCGAGCATTTCCAGTTTTCATAATAATCCTCATTTTGAGCCGTACTCAAACAATTCTGTATAATTTAATTTACTTAACTTCTCAAGTTCTTCAAGGTTGAGCCTGGTAAAATTTGCAATCAGTATTAAATTCACACGGGATTAATGTGGAACAAAATTTCTGGATTACATCATGTTCGGAAGATCCAACTACATATCGATATTAGATGTATTATCAATGGAGTCAACTGCTACATGTTTTCCAAGGTCATTTGCAAACTATTAAAAAACCAAATAAAGGGCTAGTAAGAGAAAGAAAAACTCAAATTCATGCCACTAGATACCAGAAGAGCATGGAGGCACGTGAGTCGCAGCCATGTGGCTTAAACACTGACCAGCTAAAGCTGATCATGCTTTTTCCTTGTTGCAGAAGCACTAATTTGATGGTCAAGTAAGAAACAAAAGGTATGCATTGACAATGCCTCATTGGAAACCAGGACAAAGATATGTCTTTTGTTTTTAGATTGATTAGAATGTATAAATAAATCAGACACCATTGTATGCTGCATCCTTACAGACAATAACTTTCTTCCAAGTTCTCTCCGATTAGAATGTCCAGAAGCGGAGAAAACATTGAAAAACTAGTTATTACAGAAAGAAAAAGGTTAAATTCCAAGATTTGATAAGGATATTCAAAATAAGCATGTACTACCTAGCACAAAAATGGATTAGTTTCTTAGAGGAAGTTCGAAATGTTAATCAATTTGGCGTATGAAAATGAGGATACGCCATATTATGCAAAATATACATTTTAGTTGATGCACTACAGTAAATACCAACAATCTTGTGGCGTTTTATTGTTTAATAGTGTTAAGTCATCCAATCACATTTGTCATTAACCAACAGAATTTCGCAAGAAAGGAAAGCAACTACCTCCCCTCAAATGTGTCAAACTAACTATTAAGCACTTAAAAAATGATGTAAACTGAAATCTGTACGCATGTTCCTTTGCAGGGTACACACCCTTTCACTCATGGAGCAGTCACAAATGCTAGCCAAAGCAAGCATACAAACATCTAATTTTATGTGTTTGGACTTGGGCATTTAAAGGGGAAAAAAAATAAAAGAAACATTGAACTACACTATGCTGTTATTTTTCCTATTGAATTAGAAAACTCATAGGGACTCGTTACTAACTGAAGTACTTCCAACCACTATGACGTGATTGCTGCCCAAAGCATTAGTGCATATAGCATAGAAAACTCCAATACTTATTAAATGCAAGGAAGTTCAATCAACATCTCTCTTGCTATCCACTCAACAATACTAGTGATTCATTAATTTTTCAGCATGCCAATTATTTCCTACATCCAACACTTTTATAGTAACAAGCAGGCAGAATGTTGATACTGTGGGCCTTCAGGCATGGATGACAAATAAGAAACTATCGTATAATTCCCTCAAATAATAACCAATACCTCACCAACAACAGTCAATGGTGTACCAGTTGGAAGAACCCGCTCAATTCTCTTGACTCCAAGCATCTTCATAAGAATTTGAAAAAAAACCCCATTAAATAAGCCTGATCCAGCAACATGTACATGTGTTTGGGTGGGTGGATGGCCATAAGGACACACGAGGAGATATGCAAACCTTTAGACCTTGGAGATAATCTAATGTTCCACGTACAAGGGATCGCCCGGACTCCTCAAATACTTCACTTCCAACTGTTAACGCCAAACCTGTGGCATTTCGGGCTCCAATGACAAATACACGTCCAGTCCCATCATCCTGACACAGAAAATGCATTGCAGATTTTAAGACTTCATCTATCACTTGGCTAATACAATCCAGAAGAACAAATAATCCAGATACAATGTTTCAGCAGACCAATCCAAGGAAGGTGGGAAAAGAGGGGTCATATTAAACATTTCTCACCAAATACCAGGGAACCTCTTTGCACATGGAAAGCATCATAGCAGAATCCTGTATCCAGGAACCAGTATCACTGTGTTTCAAAAAATGTTGCTCGGCCTGAAAGAATGTCAAACAGAACATTTACAGACAACTAGAAAATCAATCATGAAATATATAATCGTTAAAACACAGATTCATGTACCGTTTCCTCCACAATTACACCTCGCAGACCACTATACTCGCAATTGATTGGTGTCTCTGAACCAACTCTTCCAGAAATCGTGACAACAAAAGGCAAAACTTTGCTTGCCGTATCTAGTAACTGTGCTGAAAGATGAAAGAGGACAAATATAAAGACTGGGATAAAATCTAAGTGAGTATTATCAATGTCATTAAGCAGAACGACAAAAATTTATTGGTCTCTGCATTGTAAGAATTCCCTGTTAGGATCACGGGCCCAATGTATCGGTTACTAATACGTCCAACGAGCCTTGCTAGTATTTAGTCAGTGTTTCACCAATCAAATAATCTGAATCAAGGGTGGACGTCGGGATTAATCAAAAACCAATGAGAATTGTTAGTTATGGAACTCCAATACCAAAAAGACCTGCATCCTAGAAACTGGGAGAGTACGAAGAGAGAGATCATATACAGACTCCTACACCCCCCTAAGGATTGTGTGTGACTAGGTCAAATTTTCATTGTTGTTTGTTTCTCAAAGTACTCATAGACATAAAACTTGAATCAAGGAAATTCCACACCACAACCATTTATGTTTTTTTGTTATAAGTTTGTCAAACATCACCTATGGCCCATTAGTTGAATCATATATGAACGTGACCAGGGATTGAACAAGAGTGAAAGCAAAGCATTGACTTGGAGAGTTGAGAAATTCTGAAGATCCAGTATGCCTGTATATGTAGCATTCACATTGCACAAATTTTATATCTAGGAGACCACATCAAATAGCCCGGATCTTCTCCCAGAGCTACCAACAATAATCAATATGAAAAAGAGAAAAAAGAAACAAAGATCATCTTAAATTTGTCGGAGAACAAGATAATTCGAGAGGATAGACCTAAAAACAAGTGCAGATGAGGGGGAATTAAAAGCACAGCAAAGACCAAAGACTGCAAAAGACACAAATACAAAGAACCAAGATGGTATAAAAATAGAGAAACATAAACAAAAATGCAATGATGGGCAGAGTTTAAGGAGGCTGGTGTCTAATTCACAAAATAGCCTTCGCAAATGATAAAGTGGAAGAATGTAATGGAAAGTCAAAATGATAGACAAAGAAGCATAAGCATTGCCACAAAATTAAAATCTCAAAAATAAAATTTTACAACTAAAAGTAGAGGAAAAAAAGAAACAAGCATAAACTTCTAGTTTCTCTATGGTGCACTAGTTCAGCTTGGCTGAGGTTTGGTTTTTGCTTTCCAATCACATTTTATCCTTTTTCATTAAGAACTACAAGTTCAACTTTGTAACACAACCATTCAAAGCAATCAACACGTCAAATAGTGATTTGATCCGTCTGGAAAGGAACACTGCAACAGGGTAACGTTTGTAGAAGAATTATCACAATCATTTCAGAATCCGCTTACCCAACTCCTTCAACTGATTGACTCGAGTAACTGATTTGAGAACCTCTGCATCCCTAGAGAATTCTCAAACATAAAACATAAATAAATGAACTCCAACAATTAATCAATAACAAAAGAAAAATCGACGCTTTGGGAATTTCCAGTGATGGCAAAGAAAGAATTAAAAATATAGAAGCACAGACCTTCCACTGCTTCTTCCAAGAAGATAAAGAGCAGCTGCACTAAAACAGCAGGTGATTCCGCCCCATGGAACCATCTTTTATGAAACAGTATACGAATTTTCAATTCTATGTGATACTATGAAATTAAGATAAAAGAGAAAAAAATGAGGGTGAAGAATTAGGGTTTTAAGAGAGAGAAAAGAGACGGAAACAAGTGGAAGGAAACGGAGAATCAGATGCCATGAGTAGAAGAGTTCGCCGGTGGCAAATCGCCACAGCAAGTCGGTGGTATGGACGATGCTACTTTGTACCCAATTTTTTTTTTTAAGCATTTCCATTTTTTATCTTTAATAAGTAATTTCGTCGGTGGTATGGACGATTCTCAAATTACACTATCAAATATTAAAAATATTAATTTACGATCTCAATGTTTTGGATAAGTAGCAATGTTGACTTAATTTAGGCTGATGTTCAATTTTCTATCATAAATTAAAACATGTAAGGAGTAAGCGTTGATGATGCACAAAAATAATTTTGCACACCACATGTCAAGTGTAGGTAATAAATGCAGTGAAATCAATGAGAAAATTAAAGAAGACACGATTTATAGTGGTTCGGTCAATTTGATCTACGTCCACTCTTCAATGACTTCAGTTACCGGGTATTTTATTAATTCAAAGGTTTAGAGAATAGAGATACAAGCTTTGAGAGAATGGAGAATCAAAGAAGTAGTGGTCTTCGGTCGTCGGTCTGTCCCCTGTAAGTGTTGATGGGGCGTGCCATTTATAGTAGTCTCCTAACAAATTGAGGCTACTTTATAGCAGCTAAGAGATCATTCTGGTGGAGATCACGACTTATCCTCAAGGCTACTTTATAGCACTAAAAGATCATTCTGGTGGAGATCACGACTTATCCTCAACGGAAGGAGGAGGTTGGGGAGCTCTTCATGAAACG